TCCCCCAGGATGGCACCGCTCTCTTCTCCCGGCCCCACCTACCAGTCCTTGGTTAAAACCGACCAACCGTTGCTGGGCAGCGCCTGTCCCACGCCGTTTGCCCGGTCTCAAAATGGCCGCTCTCGCGTCCACAACCGACTTCCACCTTTCCCGAGACAGGCCTGCGTGGCGCGTCTGTCTCCACGGTAACGCCCCTCCGGAAAGGACGCCCGAGGCTTGGGGGCGGGGCTCAAGCACCTTGGCCCGGGGTGGGGGTCGGGGTAGCAGCGGACTTGATGCTGGAGTTGACTGGTTTGTTAGGATTAAATCCTACAGGGAGTTCCTAGTGTCTCTTCTGACGATGAGCACTGTCTTTGCTTCTCCTTAAACTCAAAAATTCTGCTGAAAAAGTTAGGTTTCCTAGAGAATTTGTGGGAATGAATTAATCTGCTGCTTAATGATTTTTTTTTTGAATCAATACTGGGACTTGAACCTGGGTTTAACATACTAGGCAAGCGGAGTGCTGATATAGGAGATAGGGCGTGGCAAAACTGGCTGGGGAGATAAGCAGGATCTGTCAATTTCAAGATCCCCGGGCTGCCCCAGATAACTCTCAGAACGTCTCAGGAGCTCCCATGAGATAAAGAATAGTGTAACCTTCCATGATACCCTTTCGTGGGTCTCCCAGACCCAGAACGTACTTTTCTTCTCTCCCTCTCTCTCTCTCTCTCTCTCTCTCTCTCTCACCCGTTTGCTTTACAGAGCTAGTTCTTTCCTTACCCCTTATTTATTTATTTAGTACCAGGGATCGAACTCAGATCTTGCGCTTGCTAGGCAGATGCGGAGCCACTGAACTACATCCCCAGTCCTTAGCCCTTAATTTTTTGCGTTACTTATTTATTTTGTTTGGTACCGCAGATCAAACTCGGGATCTTGAGCTTGCGAGGCAGGCAGCAGAACCACTGAGCTAAATCCCTGGCCCTCCTTAGCCCTTAATTTTTTTTTTTTTTTAGAAAAAAATTTAAATTTTTGTTGTTGTTTTATTTTGTTTATTGGTACTGGGGATTGAACTAGGGACCTTGCGCTTGCAAAGCAGGTGGCAGAACCACTGAGCTAAATCCCTGGCCCAGCCCTTAATTTTAAAATAAACTTTTGGCACCATTTTTATCTTGTCCAATTTCTTGCTCAAGAAAAGAAGGAACTGGAATACTTTTTTTTTGGTGAGCCATTTTCAGAGTAACTATTCCACAGCAGTGCCACACCCAACCAGTTAATCTGCAGTTTAACGTGGTCCACTAAAAATGTGGAGATGGGCATCCATCTCATACAGGTATGGTGGGAAGACCACGTGGCAAAGGTAAAAATTAAATGTTTATCATTTTAGTTTACTATTAAAATAAACCAAGGACAGTTGAATAAAATATATAGGAGGTCATTTGTTTGGACTGAGCTCCTTCATTTTGTCCAATTGGCCAAACCAAAATGGAGTCATTCACGTTGAGGTCCCAAGTCACCAAGTGGAAATTAAGTTTGTCAGGAGAAGTTTAACAGCCAAATCCTCATCCCCATAGAGGCAAGTTTTAGCTTTCTTTCTTTTCTTTTTTCTTTTTGTACCGGGGATCGAACTTGGGTCCTTGTGCTTGTGAGGCAGGCAGTGGAACCACTGAGCTAAATCCTCAGCATTCCCTCTGCTTTCAAGGAAAGTTACTGTGAAACAAACAACCTGTTCCGTTGTTTCAGTACTGTGGATTGAACCTAGGGCCTTCGCATTGAGCTACATTCCTAGCCCCTTTAAAAAAACAAAACAAAAAAATCACTTATTTAGACACAAGGTCTAGCTAAGTCACTAAAATGCCCAGGCTGGGCTGAACTTTTCAGTCCTGCTTCAGCCTCCAAAGGGCTGGCATTACAGGTGTGCACCACCATGCCGGGCTATCCTGTTCAGTTTTAAGATTTTTCCCTCCTGCACTGGGGGGTTAAACCCAGTGCCCACCTGGCTTTTGCTCTGTGTTTCTCTCTGCAATCTTCTTTGTCTGTAAAACCAATGTCCTCTGCTCAGCCATGGCCAAGCTCATTGTCTTTGAATGAGATACTGCCTGATTTTGAAACTGGAGGAAACCTGAATAAATCCACTGGTTTCACTTGCTTTTAATTAGTTGCCGTTACTTGTGACTTGATTTTAAAAATCACTAATTTTGGAGGTCCCCAAGGCTGAGCAATGTTCTTAGTCGCCCACTAGCTCTGCTGTTAGGTAACACCTCTGACCTGTGGTTGTGATGATAATAGTTGCCTAGGTTACTTTATAGGGGCATGGAGGAAATTTTCGTTGAAAACTTGGCCCCTTCACTTGCGCCTGTACAAGCACCAGCTGGGTGACTTCTTCGACTTCAGGAGGTGAGAAACTCTACCCTCAGATCGTACTGCCATTTTCTGGACACCTGGAGAACTATGAAAATTGGTTACAAATGTGCAGATCACCGATGGTTTCACCTCCAGTCACCTTTCCCCTCATCTTAAATCAGCCAGTTCCTTTATCCTATATATATCTCTAAATCCTGTCACCCGGGAGGCAGATTTGAGACTTGCTGTCTTGTCTCCACACTTGCTCCCTTGTGAATAAACTATCTTCCATGACCTGCTTGCACTGCTACTACAAAGCAGGTGAAACGACTGGTACCAGGCCAATTCTAAAATCACAAATAATTTTTCTAAAGCCAATTAAGACCTTCAATCCCAATTTTTTGTAGCCAGGTATGGCAGCACACCCAAGCAATCCAAGCACTCAGGAGGCCGAGGCAGAAAGACTGCTGTGAGTTGGGGGCCAACCTGAACTATATAGTGAGACTCTGACTCAAAAAAGCAGAACAGATTAAAAAAATAAGTTTGTTATAATTGTTTCTTTTGACAACACTCAGACTGTGACTTGTTGATGAAATGTAAAATGACTTTAAACCAGTGCTTTTCAAACTCGAGTTCACCTGAGACTCAGTAAAAAGGCTGCTTCAAAGAGGTTGAGCTGGCTCTGCCCCCAACATAGTTTTTGTTTGTTTGTTTGTTTGGTACTGGGGATCAAATGCGCAGCGGAACCACTGAGCTAAATCCCCGCACCCCCACCCCCAGCGTGTTTGATCAAACAGATCTGGGTCAGGGCTAAGAATCTGTATCCTAGAAAGTTCACAGGGAACGGGATTCCTGATGGCCTGCGGCCCTCGCCTTGAGGGACAGAGCTCTGGGACCTCCGTGTGTGCCAGACTTCAGGAAAGCTTCCAGAGTCCTCAGAGTCCCCAGAGCTTGTGTAACTTCATCCCTGCCCTCTCTCCCCACGGGTCTGTCCTTGGTCAGGCACCACCTGCTCTCCAGACCTGTGCACACACTGGAACACTCTTTCCCACCTGGTCACCATGCTGGCCTCTTCCCTTCCCTTGGGCTCTTTATTTTATTTATTTATTATTTTTTTACAGTACTGGGGATCCAATCTAGAGTTGCCTGCACTGAGCTGCACTTCCAGGCAGGCATCCCATCCTTTAAGCATCTAGGCCATGACTAGCTGGAGACAGGTCTTTGTGGAGGGTTTTTTGTTTTTTGTTTTTGAGACAGGCCTTATACTTGCAGCAACCTTCCTGCCCCAACTTCCTTAGTACTGGGATTGACAAGCCTTTCTCTCTCACCGGATCAGGAGCTCCATGAGAACAGAGAGAGCTTCAGGCTCTCTGTCACTGTCCCCCACTCTGTGCAGCACAGCACCACCAACTGGCCAGGAAGGGTGACTTCATCCCAAGGGTGCTCCTCTAGGTCAGTGTGACTGGGGTCTCCTAACAGCCCCCCAGCTGGGGGAATCCAGACCCCCAGAGGACTAGGGGTGCTTTGTTAGGTCTTGGGGTACAAGGTATTCAGGGCATCCTTGTTTTTCCAGTGAAAGACAAAGCACCCCCACACCTGTAAATCAGGTACTGAAATGATCTTTGGACCTGAGTCCTAAGGAGCCACTGCAGGTACAAAGAGGACCTACTGTGTGTCTTGGGCATAATTTCTGAAACACACTATGGTTTTTAAAAAAAGGAAGGTGCAGAAGTGAGGATAATATAATAGAACATATTGTTAAAATATTACTATATTATTTAATCTATAATATAAAGAAGCAGGGCTCAGAAATGCGAAGAAAGGGCCGGGGATTTAGCTCAGTGGTGCCACCATCTGCCTCACAAGCGCAAGGTCTGGATTCAATCCCGGTACCACAAAAACAAAAACAAAACAGAAATGAGAAATATTGGGCAACATCTGACTGGGTCCCAGGTGCTGTTCTCACGGCTTTACAGGCATTGGGCTGTTGCCTGAGTCCATGAGGTAGTGCATTTGCAGCCCATTTCACAGGTGAGCAGACTGAGGCACAGGGCAGTGTCTCGCCTGCAGCCAAGAAACCTGGGAGTGGTGGAGTTCAGACTTGGAGCCAGGGTATTTGCCTCTGGAGCCTGCAGTCACCAGAACTCCTGTGCTAGGAATCGCTGTTGATTGTGTGCATATTGCTGTGGCTTGCACGGAGCACAGAAGGAAGGGACAGAGGAGCCCATTTCGGGGACAGAGTGACCCACCCTGCATGCTCTGGGCACCCTGTTCCCTCCAAAGTTTTTACCCCACCCTATTTTATTGCTTAATGTCTTGAAATGAACAAGACCTGGCTTTCAGTACTCTTTCTTGAAAGGAATTTGTTTGGGTTTTTTTTTCTTTTTTTTTTTGGTACCAGGGATCGAACTCAGGCCCTTTCACTTTCGATACAGGTGGCGGAACCACTGAGCCAAATCCCTGGCTAGAGGAGAGGAATTTGGAAGGAGCTGCAGCCAGGGGTGGAAGCCAGAGCACAGAGGCACCTCCCTTAAGACAACAAGCAGGGCTGGGGATTTAGCTCAGTGGTGCCACTACCTGCCTTGCAAGCACAAGGTCCTGAGTTAGATCATTGGTACCAAAAAAAAAAAAAAAAAAAAA